GAAATAGAAATCAAGAAGAAACAGAAATCAAGATATTCAAAGCCATATAGAAAGATCGATACTTTACATTGCAGAAATGAGGAACCATTAAACACATTTAAGTAGAAATGACTGTGCTTTAAGGAGATTAATCTTTAACAGTGTATAGATTGAGCTTAATGTGGAGAAATTAACGAAGGCAGATCAGTTTGCATTCACCTAGGTAAAAGGTATTGAGGATTAAAACTAGATTAATGGCAATATGAATAAAAATAAGTTGAAAAATTATGGGCATGGTGATTTGAATTGCAATCCAATAATGAGTTAGGAATGCAGAGCTGTCTGCATCTGTTAGCTCTTATATTAATAAACTCTAATCTGAATTCATTTTTACCTAAATCTATAGTGAACTCCTTCTATACTGAATCCCTTGAAGGGAAAGGAACTTGTACATAAAAAACAACTAACTGAAAAGTACAAGAAAGACAAAGGCTTCCATTTCTCTCCAAAGAGTAACCTGTCACTGTGACTAAAGCAAACTTACATGGGGGCTGTCATTTTCTTAATACTTGGCACCCTTGGTTCAGAGCATGCAGATATATTTGTATGGCATGAACCATTGACCCAAGGAAGAGATTATAGAAATGGAAACAGCCATTGTCTAGACTTAGGAGAATTTCTGGGCCTTTTCTTGAAAGTAGGGAAGTTAAATGAGGGGATAAGGGAGAATCTCATTTATAGACTAGGTAGGAAGAAATGAAAAAAATTTTTCAGCTACCCAAGAGGAGATTGCTATGAGAAAAGAGGAGTTAAGAGCCTCTGGAGGGTAAGAACAACCTTAGCTGCCATCTTAAATGATTTTAGGCATTGACCAAACATGAAGGTCAAAACCAGGAGTGGGACATAGGGCATGAGGACGGTATATAACCTTTTCAACTTTAGAGAGAAATACAAAAGCAACGTCAGAAGCAAGAGAAGTATATTAAACCACCTATATCCACATATTGTATAACCTAACTCAGGTTTTTAACAGTAACCAAAAATTACTATTTTAATCAAGGTAAATTTAAAAGCAAAGGAATTATTCAGAACTTTGGCTGATAATTGTTTGTTCACATTCATCACATTATTCATTCATGGAAATAATCAAACTACCTTGAAAATTTCAGCAAAATTTTTTATATATGTATATATATACACATATGCATACACAAATAGTTTTTTTTGTTTTTGTTTTTTTGCACTCACAATTGTACCTATTTGAGAGTGAGGTCAAAATGGAAGCTTCTCTTTTTCTATTTGGCAATCTCTTAGTGTCCTGCCCTTCAATAATCTCTTTTTCTCACCTCTCTCAACATCACCCATTTCCTGCCAAAGTTCAATAATCCTAGTAGTGGTTGCAAAGTCACCCCCAGATTCCTGGGATTAGGAAAGCAGCTATAGCCTGGTTCAGAACCACAGCAGGAAATAAACACACAGGCTTGATGAACTTAGTTCCAAGAGAGTTATCCTGAAGAGAACTTGGAAAACTAGAGAAGAAATGGAACAAAGATGATCAGAATCTCCTCTCCCCAACTATCTTCTCCTTATTCTCACCATGGTTTTGTGGACTTCCCTGAATTCTAGTGCAGACAAGGCTAGTACCTTAAAATTAGAAAGACACTATATAAAAGCCTTGTAATGTTCCTCATCATGCAGCCAATGGAACTCTGACTATAAATGTCCAGTGAAGGGTGAACTTAAGTTATATACAATCAAAGAACCAAAGGAATGCCATTCTAATTTTAAAAAGTGATTCATATTTGGAGAAGGTACTTGTGTGACTTCATTCACTATCATTTATTAAAGTAGTTTCATCAAATTGACTTATCAGAGGCTGGGTAGCCACAGGCATGTGTCATTCAAAACCCCTCAGAGTAAATCTTCTGAGAAAAATGTAATTGGATGACAGCCTTCAGCCACCACACTTCCAGAATCCACTGCAGCATTCATCCAAAGGCCATACTCATCAAGCCGATCCAAACCAATGACTGAACATGGTGGAGGTAATAGAGCTGGCCATATATGCACAATGTGGGACCCTTCTAACAGTAAACCTTTTATCTAGGACTTGTTATTGGTCTGGCACTTTCCTGTAGCCCCAGTGGTGTCAGTTTAAGGCTTTTTATGCCCAATTCTCCTTCCTTCCCCCTCTCCACTCACAGATGTCAGACCTATATTATGGTCCAGAGGTTTCTCTCATCTACTTCTGCTGTCTCTCCACTTATCTCAGATGTTTCCCCCCCAAAAGCTCTTGTACTTCTAATATCTTGCTGTGTGCTTCTGGTAGGACCTTTAGCTTACAAATATGAGAAAAGTTACCAAATTCCTGTAAAACAACTGGGAGAAGTACAATGTTAAATACTAATGCTATCACTGAAACATGCATTTTTCCAGCTTTTTCTCTTCCTCTCTTCTGATCTTTTTTCTCTCGCCCAATTCCTTTTCCAGAGCCTGCCTGATTTTTTTTAATTTTGATAGATGGGAAAAAGAAAAGTTTGCCATGTCTTTTCTAGCAACACTTAACAAGAGATGTGCAGAGAGATGAATCAGAGCAGCACTGTTAACTCCATTATCTGGTTTCAGTGTGTATAGATTATTCCTTCATTGACACTTGAGAAGGGGGAGGAAAGGATCGATGTGGTCTGGCTCTAAACTGGTTAGGAATGTTGAAAGTAGAGAGAGAGAGAGAGGGATAGAGAATCGTCATGAAGCGGTGGTTCCATTCTGAAAGTCTGCTCCAGTCTGCTTTCCAGGACAATAGAAGTTGTAATATTTAGAAGATTTATAGTAATGTTTCATTCTATAAAAATATACTTTAAAATATTTGTAGAAAAAGTAAAATAAGTATATCTGGCTGAAAGAGGTTGTGATTGAAGGCTAAATATAAATGTATCCTTCAGGTTCTTCAAGAGGAAGTAAGCATTCAGATAATGGCAAATTCTCTTGATGACTGAAAATTATCACCCCTTTCCCTTACCATCATAATGCTAAAATCTCTTGGCAAGTCTTCGAAAAAGAAGTTTCTGGAAAAGTGAAATGGAAGGGATCTGTTCAAAATGCAAAGATGGATAATCTGTTTTAGCTAACCATTTACACAGCTTGCACTTAAAACATGGGTATAGATTAACTCTGCTGCTTTGACATCGATAAAACTTCATGTTTAGATATGAGTTAGGAAAGCAAGAGGTTATTAAGTACTGGATGCCACAGGGAGGATTTGCAGGAACTCTGAGACCATAAACTCAGATAAGTCTTCAAGATCATGACATACATGTTTTAATAATCAAATTGGAATTCAACCTAATTATTTTCTAAGAAACTTCCATTTTGTCAAGTTTCATTTCTAGTAAACTTAAAGACACAGTGTGTAGGGGGTAGGGGAGAGAGAGTAATCCTTTAAATTTTCTATGAATAATCCATAGTGGTCTTTTATCACAGCTAGTTTTCTTAATACATTTAAACCACTGTGACATTGTAGTAGGGATGTGAGTAGTTCTTCACATATTTAAGAACATTGAAGAGTTTACAGACATAAATGTAATGAAGATATGACTTGTTATTTGACAAAAATCAAACCTTTATTTGAAAAATATCAAACGAAAGATGGTCTATGTTATTTTCCAGGAGCTCCATATTTAAAATTTGAAATTTTACGTGTTTAACTTAAAGCAAGTAACATGTGAATGTATCTAACAGAAGATTTTCAAAGAGTGAGAGTACTATAAACATAAATGTAAGACTATGTTTTTGCCTAAAAAACCCTAATACACAAATTTAAATGTTGCTTCTCTTTATATTGTACACACGTGTTCAAATGTCAACACTTATAAAACTAACCTATCTTTCTATAGGTCTATACTGTGCATAAGCTATGGTTGACAATTTCACTTTAAAAATCTATTACATTTGCTATAGTATCATTTGCAATACTGGCACCTAGAAATATTCTTGAAAATCCAATAACAGAAGACTAATAAATATTCTATAAATGTCTTGAAATATTTGCATCACTTAGAAATAATGAAGTGGAAAGTTTTCCAAGGCATGTTATTAAACGACAAAGAGAAACAGAAAAAACCCAAAGCTGGAGATGCAGGATAGCCTACTGAATAAGGCCACAGACTCTAGAACCAGACTAGTTGGGTTTGGATGCTGATTTGGCCACTTATTAGCTGTGTGGAGAGAAAGGTTTTTTTTAATAAACTGTTTCATACAACAGCTCCCTAATTTGTAAAATGAAGGTCAAATTAGTACTTACCTCACAGGGCCATTTTAAGGATCAGATCAGTCATTATATAAGAAACAACTGTAACAATACTCGCTACAATATCATTACTAAATCAGTGCTTATCTGTTTCTAGAGTGGCCTAGTGTATGGCAAAGATACACAATAGAAAACTACTTATTCTATAGGAACATAGACCTGTATTCAAGCAACAAAAAAATGATACCAATGTTTAACTGTGGGCATTAAATGAGATCCTTTGCTTTTTGAGTATTTTACATGCAAAATATACTTCATACATTATTTCATGATTAAATTTTAAATACTTTCATCCACCCATTAAATAACAATGAAGTTTACATTCATTGACTTATTGACATAGAAAGACATTCATGCACATTTCATTAATTGCAAATAAGCAGATCAAAAGATAGTATTGTGTTAATTTAACTCATTTATGTAAAATTATGTGATTTGTGCAAAGAATGATAATCTTAATAACTAATCCACTTAGGTGATTTTGACTTTGTTCTTTGTATATAGACACATGTAAGCATAATTATATATATGCACACACAACTATATATTATTAAAAAAAAAACTCTAAAAGCTACTTTGTGAAAAAAGAAAGCAACAGTAAGGCTAGTTAATTATACCATCGTGCAGCATCCTGCATTCAAACTGCATATGGTGAGAGCACAGCCAAGTACCACTGATGAATGGAATGAATTAAAAAGATAATGAATGTACTCACCCACCAATCGCCTGGAGTCCAGAGAATTTGGAAGCATCCAAATCACGGCCACTTACTATTCGAGCCTTAAATCAAAAACAAGAAAAAAAAGAAAAGAAAAACAAACAGGTCTTTAGCATACCATAGCTGCATATACATGAATTTGGGACACAAGTCAACTGCACTACACATGTAATACCTAGTATGACAGATGCTAAGCAGGGTCAGCTCCAAGTCAAAGCTACTATGTTTTTGTGAGGGGGGGGGGGTTTGAAATTAGCTGTCAGCATTTAAATAAAAGCACTGGCACAGTCCAGGAAAATATATCCTATTCCCCAATACGATTTGCCCTTAAAACTTGCTAGGTGTAGTGAACACCATGAATCAGTCAGGGAGATCATGATTAGCCAGACTTCAGAACAGATGCTGAGTTTGACCGCAGCAGACCCCTAGGTTGGCAAGTGTAAGCTAAAGTAAGCGCAGCTGGCAAGGTGTACCCTCTTCTTAAATGCAGCATATTGGGGGCACACTTAAAGGACAACCAAAGAATGGGAAGCTGGGATAACATGCACATTTCACAACTAAAGCAGAGGAACCAAAACAGGTCTAATATGTCACAAACAAACATGTACAAAAGACAAGGTCCCTCAGGAGAGAAGAAAAAGTATGATTTAAAACCTTTTCATCCACAGAACTGCTATCTGAAAGAGAATCAGGAAAAGAAGGAATAAATGTTAGAAGGAGTACTTTACGAAATCACTTAAACATATACATGAACAAAGCGTTACATTTTACGTTACTTAAAATCGTAAGTAAACAGAATTTCAAGGCTGAACCCCAAGGGAAGAGGGATAGTTGGTCCTCATCATTTAAAGAGCTGGAAAATGTGCCAGAATGCTTGAAAAGTATCAAAGGGTGATTATAGGGTTTAATGAAAGACCATGTGTCATATAAAGAAAAGAACACGATTGAAGAATCTGAAGTCCGAAGCCCCAGCTGGGGCTCTGCCACTTACTAAGCACATGGGGCAAACTACCAAACTCTCTGGAGTCTGGAATCTAGACCCAACTCTGCAAAAAGGTCATAGATATTTTGTTTATTGGCCTCCAAACATTTTTCAGAGACTCAATTGAGATGAATATATGTCCAAGTAAACCCCAGGTGACTACATAAATTAAGCATGTTTATTAAGCATGGATTATTTATGGCTTGTCATAGAAACTCAAGAGCTAAAAGATTAATCAAATATACTCCACTTTGCAAATAAAAAAAAAAAACTGATACCTGAAAGCACTTCAATGACTTAAGATCACAAAGCTAGTGAATGGCAGAAGTAGGACACAAATCTAGGGCCCCTGAACCCCATCTGCTGCCCTTTAGATCCCATGTTCCAGGTAAGTTGAACAAAACAGAGAGGGATCCACAGTTCTCCAGCCCAATTTTTTTTTTTTAAGATTTTATTTATTTGAGAGAGAGAGAGAGAGAGCACATGAGAGGGGGGAGGGTCAGAGGGAGAAGCAGACTCCCCGCTGAGCAGGGAGCCCGATGTGGGACTCGATCCCGGGACTCCAGGATCATGACCTGAGCTGAAGGCAGTCGCTTAACCAACTGAGCCACCCAGGCACCCGCTCTCTCCAGCCCAATTTAAGATACACCACAGAGTAAGCATTTCTCAGTTGCAACTGCTCTTGGACCCAAGATGAACAATGGTGAATGATGGACAAATTTTTGTTTTTAAACTCAAGTCTGAATCTGCCATCGTCCTCATGGCATGGTCCATTTCTACCTTACATAGTAGTACTGCTCTTAAACTTATTAGTTCAGTTTTGCTTATTAGTAGAAAGCTGGAGGAACTTCTCTCTGAATAGAAGTTGGCAGAAAGCTAGAGCTAAAATGACCCTGGGGTTCAGAGAGTCAAAACCTTTCATTTTTATGGATGAGCCCCGGCAATATAAAGATTTATGTAGGTCATGTAGCTCAATGACAACTTGTATTGATAAAAATATGAAATGTATTTGTTTTCTTGACTCATTAAGTATGGCTTTATTAATTACTTGGCAATATTTTTGACTCTATTTTAGATATTTCACAGTATCTCAGAGTTAAGTCTTTGAATATAAAACTAGAAAAAAGCACAAATAATAAAAAAAGATCTTATTTATGGCCATAAAAAATTTTAAGATACTTCATACAATATAGAAAATTAAGCATTAAATAAGAATAATATATCCATGAAAACTGTCACAAGCATAATTTAAAATCATAGAATAACTAATTTAATACGAGCTATCAACTGATCAGACAATATGCATCTGCATTTCAATAGGTACCAAAAAGCTATTCGATAAAATTTCAAAACAAAACCCTCTAAATAATTTTTTAAACATTTAAAATCAAGTGAAATGAATCTTGAGCTTATTATGTTAAAAAACATGTCACTTCCAGAGACCTAAATCTAAGTGTGAGGTATTAGGGCATTCCCATTATTCCAAGCAAAACAAAAATGTCCACAATCATCATGTTAACGTATTTCTTGAAATTCTGATCAATACATTAAAGCAGGCCAATTAAAGCAAAAATAAACAACATAAATGTTAGAAGGCACAAGACAAAGTTGTATTTTCATTTTAAACCCAAAAGACAAGTCACCTGGAAAACTGTGAGGGTTAATAAAATAAGTAGCAAAGTGAACATAAAATAATAAGAAGAGTTATTTCCTACAACCTTGCAATAACTGGAAAAACAATGACATGAAATCTGATTTCAAATATCCATTACTTTGACATTGTCTCCTATTAATAACTGGATTCTAATATCAACCATTCCAGTGAGTAAATGTAATCCTAACAAAGTCAATCATTTTTCAACTGCTAAATCTAATACACTTCAACTTTTTCATTATTGAATGTTTCATTCATTCCTCCACTGAAACATATTTTTATCAATTACCAACAAGTCTTTTGTTCACTCCTACTCCTTTCTTGTCCACCTGCTATCCTGTCCTCCTTGAAACCTTTCTAAATACAGTTAAAATCATACCACTTTCCTGTTTAAAACCCACCAATGCTACCCCGTGCCCACATGAGAGAAAACAGATCTATATCTACTGCAGGCTCATGAGCCCTCATTCACATCCTACACTTTGGTCAAATTAAGTTCTTGCCATTTCATCTTCATGGCATGCTCTTTGAAATCAGTGTGCTTTTACATTTTCAGTTTCCTTTTCTTAAAACAAGTGCTACCCTTCTTCATCTAGCTGTCTGTCAGCCTCTAAAACTCAGTGAAAGCATAACCCTCTCTCCTGGAAACTTGTAACAGCTCAGAGAGTCATGGCTTGTGTGCATGAGCACTGCACACTGCATTCCTCCTGGCTAATCTTCATCTTTTGTCAGTTTCTTCATCTGCTGTCCTCCTAGATAAAAGTGCGTTTAACCTCCTCTTTCTAATTTCTATTACATTTCTGAAATATAGTAGATGACCAGTAAATGTTTATTCAACATTGAGTGAACAACCTTAAATAAGCTACAACACTTTATGGAACTATCTAAAAATCCAAATAAAATTTATTTCATCTTCCTGTGTAGGGAAGATAAATTATTTTATAACACATTTATAGATTTAGTAGTTAAAATCCTAATCGCAAGTTGTTGTAGGGTTAAGAATATTTCAAGTATAACTGGATTAATAAGTCAAAACATTGATGACCTTTTCAAAGAAGAATTATGAGGAAAGTCTGTAAGGATTTTAAAAATCTATAGTAACCAAATATTACTGTCCCAGCAAAATAGATTGAAAGATAAGTTCAACAAAATTAGCCAAGTAACAAAACCTTGTACTTAAGAATTCAACAAATAAGGAAGGATGGATTGTTATTAAAGACAAAGAGACACACTGGTCAATAAATGATGCTTAGAACATAGGTCAAGTATCTGTAATACTTATTTATATCCTCATCTCGCACATAGCCCATGAAGTTGCAGATGTATTAATTAAATATAAAGTTAGAGAAAATGAGTAAAAATAGAAAGGAGGAATATTTATTAACTCTATGGAGTAAGATACATTTACAGTTTAGAGGTAAAGTTCATTAAGTCTGTTATGCCCACTTAGTACTTTTGTACATAAGAACAAAGAAAATGAAACATATTTGCTAAAAACATGTATGTTGGCATGTTCAGTATATAAAGAACTCTTACAGGTCTCTAAAAAAATGACCCTAATAGCCCCCAAAATTGGTTAAGAATGTGACCAGATAATTCACAAATTAGAATGCAACAATGGTAAATAAGCATGAAAAATGATATAATTTATTAAAACTGCCTCTTCAGATTATAAAATTAGCAAAAATCCTATTTTAATGATACTAAAAATAATACTGGAGGCTGTTAAAGAGATCATTAATCAGACACTCCGATGCATGGTTGATGGCAGTGAAAACAGTAATAAAATTTTTAGAAAATTTTTAGTGATATCTAGCAGCAGACTGTTTTGTTGAGAAAAATTTTTTTGAAGTTGATGCTAAGGAAATTATTTTTGTTACAGATTGAATTATGTCTCCCAAAATTCACATGCTGAGGTCCTCACAGCACCTCAGAATATAGGCTTCTTTGGGAATAGAGTTGTTGCAGATATAGTTAAGATAAGGTCATACTTGAATACGTTGGTTCCCAATCCAATACGACTGGTGTCTTTATAAAAAGGAGATATTTGGAAACAGATGCATACACAAGAAAAACACCATCTGAAGATTGCAGCTCTGCTGCCACAGGCCAAGGATATCTACCAGATGCTAGAAGAGAGGCTTGGACAGATCTTTCCCTAACATTTTCAGAGGGAGCATTGCCCTTTTAGCATACCTTCATCTCAGACATCTAGCCTCCAGAATTGTGAGACAACAGATTTCTGTTGTCCTAAGTCACTCAGTTTATGGTGCTTTGTTTATCAGCCATGGCAAATTAACATAATTTTAAGTCCTGAAAAAAAAAAATTGTGTAAAGATCTGCACTTTCATTATTCACAAAAAGAAACCTGGAAAAACATGCATAATCAAGTATAGAAATATGGGTTGAAAATTATGTTGTAGGGATGCCTGGGTGGCTCAGCCAGTTAAGCATCTGCCTTCGGCTCAGGTCATGATCCCAGGATGCTGGGATCCAGTCCTACACTGGGTTCCTTGCTTAGTGGGGAGCTGGCTTCTCCCTCTGCCTGCCGCTACCCCTGCTTGTGCTCTTCCTCTGACAAATAAAATCTTAAAAAAAAAAAAAAAAAGAAAGAAAATTACATTCTATGACCTTGATTCAATAATCTGTGACCATTAAAATAAACATATTTAATATACTATATAAAGAAATGTTTATGTGTATATACATATTTACATATATAACATAGGTTTAATATACATTATACATGTACCTACTACATATACATAATCAGTACACACACACACTCACAATGGCTTTGTTCCCTGACAAATTGCCTTTTGTTCTACATGTAGTTCTTCTGCTTAGTCAAATTCTGATTAAACCTCCGTAATTACCAAAAAACAAACAAACAAAAAAAAAAACCTCTGTAATTACAAGTTGGATGCTCCTTAGAAGACTATTCCCAATGCTCCTTGTCTCAAAAGTCCTATCACTGCACAAGGTCATCTTGCAGTTCAGTGACAATGCTGTTAATATAAGATCACAATGCATCCATCTAC